AGATTTGAGGTCCCTGACCCCGAAGTATGAAAACCACAATTCCCCTTCTGAGATTTGTGCATAGACTTCACACTCCTCACTATGAACTCTTCTGGTAATTTGAGTAGAAGTGTTCTCTGCCCTGAAGTTAAGCATATGAGTACAGCCTGCAGAGACGGTGTTCTAAGTACAGATCCGTGCTGGAAGAAGTAAGCAATTTTTCCTCAGCACAGTATCTAAGACACGGTTGTGTTTCAAAGCTGGGTTAGACTCCCAGAGCAGATAAAACAGCTGATGAAAAGCTAATGCACCGAAAATACATGGCTTATGTAATTTGTGATTTCTTTTCTTAGCACAGTCTCTATCACCAAACAGGTTACTTAGTGTCATAATGGATTTCAAAACTGGAAAAACATAAATTAAAAATAAGATCTAAAAGTCAGTATATTACCGTTCACAGCATGGAATTAGTTCTCTGTATGGCAGTGTGTATGTTCTAAGACAGCTTTTTGGCAGGTAAAATGTCTGTGCATCTACAGTCAGACCTTTGTCCATGTAATTCAAGTAAACTTCACATAAAGAAAGAAATATTTGCGACAAAAGGTGTACAGAGCATAAACCAACTAAATTTTGCATTTTCTAGAATTAGGGTAGTAACTTATGTATCTGATGATCAAATCCCATGCGCTGTCACTACTTGGACTGTAGTTTCAATTGGTGTTGATTTTATGGCCATTAATTTTGGGGTGCTCAAGCTGCAAAACCAAACAAGCCTCATGTTCAGTAACCCCATGCACAAACACACACAGATCCTCTAGAGATTTGCAGAACAGCCATTTTGACAGTATGGGCATCTCAGCTATTCACTCTGTTGCAGCAACATTAGAAGATCCAGGTATCTCAGTCATGACAGTCATCTTTACTTTGCAAAATACCAGTTCATACACAGAGTCATTTACCTTGACTGATCATCAGGCATGCCTATAGCACGTGTCACTACCAAAGAACAAATCAAGTATTTCTGGTTTGGGTTAGTATAAATCAACTTTTCTGTGGGGTCATAAGCCATCATAGAGTAATATATGTTATTAATTATTTACTTAAATATGTTTGTAGATCAAAGCCTACATTTTGTTGACTCAAAAATGCCATTAAATATTCCAGACATTTATTGATGTAATGCTAACTAAAAATATCCTCAGATTAGCGCAGTGGGATGTCAAGTTTGAGAATATCTGTCCTGGACACCCAACAGGAATCCACGTTCCTTATCCATGACCTGGGTTCCACAGAAAGTACAATTCCTTGCTTGCCATCTTCAGAATAAGTTCCCTTGGCTTTCTTTGATCACTCCTAGGTGATTTAAAAGCAGTAAGCTTTTGTTGTTGACTGAAATCTGCTGATGACCTCTCCTTTTATCTTTTACTTGTTTTACTTACCTAAAAAAAAAAGTCTTGAATTATCTTGGCATTTGAAAATTCTAGGATTTGGGAGGGGAGAAGGGACAATGATCTCAAAAATGTTGATACCTCAGGATCTGAGAACCAAACCACCTTAAATGGCAGAATCTGTTTATTAGATATTGAGACATTCAGGAATAAGCCCTTTATTCAGAAACCTGATAATACTTGCATCAGCTATTTTGCTTTTACCAAAACATCTACATTGAAAGGCTTGACCAAATTAAGTATTTTTTTTCTAATCAGAGTTCACTTCATTATAGTAGTTGACAAATAAAGGTTACAATCTTGACTGGTGTTTAAAAGCCTCACCAACCCTTCCCTTGAAAGGTTAATTTAACATACAGAAAATAGGCCACCTTCTTCTCTCTTGGTAGTTCTGTAATAAAAGGTTGATTGTTCAAGCAGCAGCATTCAATTATTTTGCTTCTGATGCTATCTACGTGTAAAAAAATCCAGCTAAGTTCAGATGGTCCCTGCAGGCCTTCCAGTTCTAGCTTTCAGTGCAAGGATGCAAAACAAAACATTAGAGCCTCACAGTTAACATTCAAAATGGAAAGTATTATGTTGTCAAGTTAAAGAATGAAATTTGCTTCCTGGAATATCAATGACATAGAAAAGCTTCTGGAGTGTTTGTCCTTTTATCATGAAACTCATTCTTCAAATGTGTTTGCCATAGAAAAATGTGCTAAGGAAGTCAGAGTGGCAGCCAGTGTTTAGAGAAGTTGCCCAGAAATGTAGCCATCCAGTTCTTGTTGAGTTAGCCATGATACTAGAGCTCTACATCAGATATTGAAAACTTATGCTATAATAATAGATTTAATATAGTTGGAAAAGAAAACAAATGTTTCCCTATCTATGTTTTTGGTTTGTTTTTTTTTTTTTTCCCCCCACAGGACTTGGGATGCTCAAATGATAGATGTGCAGAGCAAAAGCAGTGAAATTTATTTCTCTGATTGTGATGGTTGAAAGAGAAACAACACTGACCTCCAGAAGTTTAGGGAGCGAAATAAATAGTTTTGGCATTGTGCATCAAAACTGAGACCACTGAAAAACATCCAGGAAACACAGTGAGAATATACATTCAGTGTAAAATAAATCAGCTTTCAAAAAGAAAGTAATTTGAACATCTCAAACCATTTTGAAATTTGTGTTAATTTTGCTATTGGCCTGAATTTTAGCCCCACATTTACTCACTTTTACTCACTAATCTTATAGGTGGAAAACTGAAAAGGCAAGAGTGTTTCAGAGGAGAAAATCAATGCTGTTACAATGGGTCCTCACGAGCAGCAACAGGGGCATCTTAAAGCGGCTCTGGCAGTGGAAGGAAGGTTGGCAGTGCTGAACAATCAGATAACTGCACTTTTTATGTGCAAGCCAGTTGAAGCAGGTCTCTAAACAGACCAGTACACAGATGTGTTCTGTTCCTTTAAAATCCGAGCTCTTACTTATTAGAAAGGGATAAAATAGGAATGCAACCAATACAGAAATGCTGGTAAATCCACAAAAATGGTGGTTTTGTCAAAAAGTATATAATTCCTTGTTCATGATTGAGATGTTGTGTAAATGTTGTGCATGGTTTGCTAATGGTATCTTTTGCTCACAAAGAAGTTATATGATCAGTATATCAGACCATGCTGAGTGGCTGGCATCATATTCTTATGACCTGTAGTTTGTGTTTGCAAAACCCTGCCACATTTCTTCTGCCATCTTAAATAAAGTCACTAGTGCCTATGAGTACAGGGGGTCTCCATAGAGCCCAAGCCAAGACAGACATTCCAAGAAGCCCATGGAGCCTGTGCTGTGACACGATTACACTGTGAGCAGAGGTACAATCATGCATGAGAACTGGTTCCTTTGGGTAATTCATGTTTCCTGTATTTCTGGGAGAAACTCTGCCATCCTCCTCCTCCCTCCCCAGCTGATTCAATCCCTGCTGAGAGGTAATACTGCAAAATCCATCCTTTGTTAGCCAGTAGGAGAGCAGCAGTAAACAATTTGAGGACAATAGGCACCAGACATATGGAAAACGCTTCATTTCTACTGAGCTGGCACATGCAAATGCTTTGCTAATGAGAATTCCTGAACACTGAAAAAACTATAACCTGCTTGCTTGAGGTTTAAACACCATACTTTTTGTGGAACGGAAGATTACTTTAGAAGCTCTTAAATGACCTGGAAATTATTTTTTTTAAAGTCGACACTTAAGACTAGGCTGGAAGAGTACTACAAAATACAGCTTAGGGAACGGCTCAACACTGTCAGGTAGTAGGCCAATAATGACCTCATAGTTTCCATTTCCAGTGGCTTCTACGGCTTTTAACAAGTCTTTCGCACCAGGGAGCCTCTTGGTTGTTTAGAAGATCCCAGCTAAATCCCCAATTTCAGCTCGGAGAGGTCCCAGCCTCCTGTTAGCTGCCGGCGGCACTTCACAGTGGTTCCTCTCCCAACAGTGTGCCGCTGATGAGCGATGGTGGCCAGCTGGGACCACAACCCGCAGCGCCTGCACGTGTCCCGTCAACGCCTGCTGCTCACCGAGCCGGGGTGACAGTCCAGACAATGACAAGTGGCTGGGGTCGTGCCCCCAAACCCACGCTCCCCCACAAGGCTGTGGCATGGCTTCCTGCAGGGTGTTTTCCCAGAGTGTGCCTGGCTCGGCCTGGCTCCTTGGCCACGCTGGGAGCAGACACAGTCCCCTGGCCTCCCTCTGGGCAGATCAAAGTTGATTTGTGGAAAAAAAGACTCTACAACTCGAATAGAGTTATAAAGCAGGTATGTTTACTCTGGCCGGGGTGCAAGGGGATTTCTCCACAAAGCTTGCACACCCACTGCACATTTTACCAAAACTGATAGAGTGTAGATATCCATATTCATTGCGTTACATAACACAAACATACATATGCATGAGTAGGGCTGGGTTAGTTAGAAAGCATGGTGTCAGCAGTTTATGTCACTTTGCACCTGTGCATTGCCTCCTGGTGGGCGTCTTCAGGGGTCTTTGGGAGGAAGGCTCATAATCTTTCTCACCCTGTTTTTTCCATGAAGCATGCGCAGATTCTCTTGGCCAATTTCTTGAATAACAAAAGTGTTTTCCAGCTGATTTATTTTTCTATCTTATCTAAGAGAACCAATAGAAAGAACTACCATTCGTCTATGGCTATCTCTACTCATTAGCAAAATTCCAACTAGTTAGTGTCAGCCACCTGTTTCTCAAGGACAGAGCATAATATTTTGCTGAAGGTTGTAGCCCCTGGTAGATTTTCACAGTACACTGTTTTGTTTTGATGAATACTGTAGTCCTTGGTAAAATTTCACAGAACAGTCTGAGAAAGCAGGATGCTTAACAATATTAAACCCACTATAAGTAAGTAAATAAGTTGCTGAACAGTTTTCTGTAAGTAAATAAATCTTAAAACAAGTAATCATTTCTCAAAGTGCCGGAGGTCAGGAGGCCGCTTCGGCGGGCCCTTCCCTAGCACCGGGGCTCCCTGCACCACCAGCCCAG